AAATCAGGAAACACACCAGATTCGACGCTTATATTAAAATATAGTGGCTAGGTAAGGTGCTAATATATCTATTATAGATAAAATAACTTTAAAGGAAATCCCCCATAAGTCTGCCGTTTTCTTAACATCAATAGTTTTAAAATAGTATAATTTAATTTATATTTCACTTCAATTTTACTAATATTACTGTATGGGTTCTCTGTTGCCTGAAATAAAGAGATTTTATTTATTTATTACGTGCACTAGACGGTCGAGAACGAGAGCAAGTGTGAAGAAAAAGAGAAGAACGATTTCTACACATTATCATTACACAAACAGTCAGTTTTCACAGAGGCTCCCTAATGGTGACGGGAATAAATTCCGACGCTCGTACAGTTGGTTATCGTCAACAACCGGCTAACTGCTGCTCGATACGTTGAAGAGATCCTACAGAATCATGTTTTGTCTTATGCGGGCTTCATTGGACACGATGAGTTTCTTATAATGCACGACAATGCACGTCCACACGGAGCGCATTGTGTATGAATACATTCAAGAGGTCGGTATTCAAAAATTGGAGTGGCCAGCTCGTAGTCCAGACTTAAATCAAATCGAGCATATCTGGAACATCATTAAAAGAAAGATTAAATCCTTTCCTAGCTCACCAAAAACTTATCAGCTCCGAAATGCAGCATTGGCCGCTTGGACAACCATACCGCAAGTCAATGTTAATAACATCATCCAGAGCATTCCATACCGATTACAGACAGTTAACAGAGCTAGAGTAAGAAACATGCGGTACGGGTTGGCTATAGACGTCCGGTACTTGATTTTAATTATGTTTTTAGTTTAGGAGGCTTGTCAGGGTTAAGCTTGAATCTTTGACACTGTTTTTGGATGTCTAAAATGCATTTCGAATTAATTACGATAAAAATAAATTATACAAAAAATGGCATATAACGAAACGCAAATATGCAATTTGGTCTAGTCTTATTAGTTTGTGGGTTTAGTATTATGAAGTAGACGTCCGGTACTTGATTTTAATTATGTTATCATGGAGGCTTGTCAGGATTAAGTTTGAACCATTCACACTGTTTTTGGACACTTTATAGATGAGATAGGTCGAATCTGTACTAAAACCGAATCAGAACGCTCCGACTCCACGTAGTCTTGTCTGCCCTATCCCTAGTGTTTTTGTAAAGACGTAGGCGCGGAGAGAAAGCAGCCCCCGCCCGCTGTAGCAAATCGCAGGCATCTGTGCAAGCCGTAGCGGTTGCGCTGGTAACTAATATCCCGAAGCTGCGGAAGTGAGCATGGGTGCCTGTGATTTGCTACGCAAGGGCGAAGGGCCTGCACTTCCCGCAGCGCCGAAGCTGTTGCAGAAGTAACTTTGAGTCAAAAAGTCAAAAAACTGTGTAAAAAAGTGAGGTTATGATTTTACAAAAAAATATTACTCATAAAATATATATTTCCGCAAGGGAGGAAGGATAGGGGGCATCCCCTGAACCCTCCCCCCTCCTCCTCTTACCCCCGTACGCGAGTACCGGATGTCTACTCGCGGTACTAACGTGTATGCACAGGCAATGATAAAAATTGCTTTTTCTTTATTTTTTAGTGTTAAAGTTGAATGTTGAAAATTCAAATTTTCCTTAAGTGTGTAGTTTTAATTAACCGCCGCTACAAACTTAATTGATGATGTAGTTATCTTTTAATAATTATGAAGAAGTACTGAAAACTTAAGAGAATTATTGTGCCCACCTACACAGTATTAATTGAGGAAAAAGTATTTAAAAGCAAGCTGTTGCAAATGCGTGTGAGTATATTAATATAAATTAACCCATGATATAACAAAATTTCCTAGTGCCGTAGAAGGGTAACATTTTTGATAGTTACAATTTGAAAAATAATCAGGAATTTAAAGATGTCGATAGTCCAACAACTAAATTGGATAAGTCAGTCCGAGTTGTATCTGGCATTAGTATGCGCTTACACTGCAACAGTGTACCATGTGTGCCGACATTGAACGTTGCCGGTATGTATTCTATTGTGTAGTTGACTGTGTTGCTTAACAAAATGAAAACGCATTTTTTAAAATATATGGAACCGCTATATCCATAGTCGTTTAGGTAGATAATAACACTGACAAAAACAACAGAATAGAGATAAAATGATTAAATTAAACTATAAATACACTCAATTTGCACTGTAGACGCCGGCAATCTGGCGAGAAATCCCAACAAGTTCGGACTGAACGGTTGATCGGCCGTTTTCGTGCATTATCGGACGATGACGGTCGTGTTTGTGTACGCACTCTCTTTCTTTTACAAGTGTTTGATTCGATCGTCCGAGTTCGGCCGTCATAGCCCGAGCAAACTTCGGCCGATGACGGATTAGGTGTACGCGTACCCGTAGGCCCGCCACATACATACGGAATTCCGTTTCGAGATTCCGTTTCGGAATTCCGAATGGGTCGGCCACACACATACGGAATCCCGTTTTGCCCGCAAAATTTCGAACGGAAAACTACCATACGTGTGTGGCGGATCATAGATTTTATATGAACTTGCTGCGTTCGGGATTCCGAATCGGAATATCGAAACGGAAATCCGTATGTATGTGGCAGGCCTATGAGATTCATCTGGCTGCATACAACTTATGCTTTTGGCATTTTAGTTCAAAATATATACAAGCACAATTCAACAAAAAAGGTACATAAGTTCTAAATTTGAAAACTGTACTCACAAAATTATGTACTGTGCAGCCATTTGAACAAACTTAGCAGGTGTATTTAATATTAAAAAAAAATACAAACAATGTGAAAAAAGTACACTGTACTTATTCAATATTCATTCATTAAATAATTATACATTAAACTTATTTACATTTCTCAAATATACAAGGTTTTATATTGTTTTCACTCAAGGATTAGTATAAGTTTCTTTATTGTTTTAAGGAACTACATACTTTAGTGATACTTCTAAAGTAGAATAAGAAATGCCAGACTAGAGTAGTCATACTTCATCTTCTTCTTATTCCTGCCCAAGTTATTTGAGGTCATCATAGCAAGTTTTCCTATTCTATTCTCCTCTATTAACCGATTCGTTGCGGCACCAATTTTCGACAACTTTTAGCTGTGGCGGCGAACAAATATTTCATGACACGCCGGGCGTGTCAAGCGCCTATTGTGCCATCCGCCATGTGTAAAAGTAATGTTCTTTTTTATGCTTTTTTTACTTGTTATTGCATTTTTTGTTGTTATAAAAAAATCATTTATATAAGTAGGTACAGCTAAATCACCCTGGAAACCTTGGTTTTTATTAAATTAAATTTTCACCTAATAATAACATTTGTAAATATCAAATGATGAACCTTAATTTGCAAAAAAAATAAGGTATATCATTCATTGATATTTACAAATGTTAAATATTATTTAATGTTATACAAATGTAAAAGTAAAGTCGATCTGAAAACGTCTAATTAGTAAGAATAGCAAAACAAGTGTTTTCAAAAGGAAAAAAACGCCGGCGCTATACGGCGGCGGATTGACAAAAGACTACTTATTAGCGAACTTTTTTTATGCATGAACGGTTTCGAAATGTTTCAAGCAAAAATAAACCTTATACCATATCACAAGAGCACATGGTACTTCGTAGGTCTATACAGCCATATGATAGTAATAAGACGGCAGTTCAACCTTTTTAAGCAAAATTAAACGCATTGTTTTCTTTTAACAGGAGAGCAATCGCAATGAGTGGTATTATTTGTTACTTATTAGACAATTTTCCATTTACATGATTTTAAACCCACAAAGTAAAAATAGTACCATGTACACGTTAAAAGAAGGTTGTCAACCCCTAAAAATTTCAAATTTTCAAAATATCCAGAAACGAAGCTGCAGGCATGAACTACTTGCAAAATAATGACTATTTTGTTCTGGATAAATCTTCAAAAAAAGCAATTTGAGTGAGTTATAACTATTTTAAAAAAGACATGACTCGCATGTCATATGCCACACACAAACCACCCGCACTGAACCGATTAAACAACACAATAGGGAGCTTACATTTTATTATAAAATTAACCTCATTAATGCTATAGAACTTACAAAACATATGCAATAACTTTACATTAGGAAATAATTGTGTACAAACAAATGTAACATACTAAAATAATCAAAAATTATGAATCAATCAATTTAAGAAGCATAAAAATATCAATTTTTTTTGTTGTCAAAAAATATCTAATAATAAATAATCCGAATTAGACAGGGGCCGGATAACCAAGGGTCCACTGTAATGTGTCATACATTTAGATCTACACCTATTGCTGTTAATTTTATGAATAAAATTAATATTTACTTACTTTTTTGTTATCTTATGACAATGTAACCCACACATTTCATGTGATAATACTACACATAAAACTGCCTTCCGAGTATATTTTTTAAGTTTTGCATTCTACTTTTGACAAAGTACAGACATGAAATCTCATATTTTCAAAAGATGTGTCACCATCTTGTGTAATCCAGACTTAAAATACTCAGACAGGCAGTGCAGAGCAGCAGAGCAGCAGAGCAGCAGAAGAGTTCTGGTAATGTGATCTTGAATTTACGACATTCCAATGAGAAAAGCCAGTTGTTTATTTTTTTATTTTTTTTATAGGATAGGGTGACAAACGAGCACACAGTCCACCTGATGGTAAGTGGTTGCTGTGACCCATAGACATCCACATTTGTCCTCAATGAAGAATCAAAATGCAGATGCGTCGTCACCCATGAGGACTAAGATGGAATGCCTCTTTTCCAGTAAAATGCATCTCCGGTTCTCTACACTCACCATACGAAACACAGCAGCGTTAAGCTGCTATTTTACGCTGGTTTTCTGTGAGAGCGTGGTCCTTCCCCGGTCGAGCCAACCCATTCGAGCTACAATTATACTATTAATATAGCTGCAGCAAGGCTCTACCACATGTAAAAGTGAGAAGTTGAGAAGTAGTATTGAGAAGAAGTAAATAGTAATTAGTTAAATGACGATATGATCACAAATTACATTTAAATTTGGAATACCGGTTTTATTGTCAATAGACGCTTCCATGTATCTCATTATTCTTCGCGCTAATAACATTGCTTCCTTTTGTTTGAACACATTAAAACTAAGCATGTCTAATTTTTCCTCAGTAGTAAGTGCTATAATGTCACAAGCATTAACTGCCATCGCATTTACAGGTAATCCGGTGGCATTTACTAGTACAACACGACGTTTTCTAAGATCCGGATGTACTTGTCCCAAGATTTTTTTTGTCCATTCGATGCAAAATATTCTACTCGTGTCCATAGCAAGAACTACGAAATCAAATGCAACTTTCCCAGTTAAATGTGATTGCCTTACTAGTTCTTCCAAATTAAACGAACGAAGTATTATAAGCTTCCATTCGAATTCGCCTTTAGAATGCATTTCAGTCAGAGAGTCTGATATTCTCTCAATAATTTCAACGTTAGTCGAAAGTACAACTATAGTTAAAACTTTTTTACAACACATAGGACCAGCCCACTCTGCTATAATTAAATTTTCATCAATAATAGACATTTTATTTGAAACAATTAATATTTTATGTAATGAAAAGTATGTAGGTACAAACAAAAATCTACTTTTTAAATTTTTTTAAATTGAATTGACGTTAAGCTTGGTTGTTGTTTTTTAATTCAAGGCACAGAAATGAATGGGCATACAGCCTAATTTGACGTCTTTTTTGTTACATAATTCTTCACATGATTCCAATGTGTTGCGTTGCATTTTTGTGAGATTTTCAAGCTTAACCTAGCAGAAAATAATAGATGACGCTAGTAACTCAAGGTGACTAAGCGGATAAGCGCCTTGTCATCAGTAACTGCCCACAAGGTTAAGCTTTCGTCAAAATCCCAGGTTTCGTCAACAACTACCAGCATAGTTGTGACATGCACATTAAACATGATCTTAGTTCTATCCATTGTGATCTTAAGACCTATCCGTTGGGAGACACTATTGAGGTCATTGAGCATAGTGCTTAGGTCCTCCAGCTATTCTGCCATAAGGACTATACCGTTGACAAATTGATGGTGAGTGATGTACTCGCCATTGATGTATGCTTTCCAGTCCAGTAGCTTGAAAACATCTTCCAAAGCAGCGGTGAAGCGTTTTGGGGATATGAAGTCACCCTGTCTTACACCTTAATTTGGCACCGCAGAAGAGACTGTAGCACCGCCAAAATTTCGAAGGAATCAAACTCTTTCTCCTAGTCCACATATGCAAGGCAAAGTGCCAGATTGTATTCGGTTTTCTGTACAATTTTGAAATTGGTCTGTAGTTCTTCAAAAGAGCGTTGTCGCCTTTCTTGAAGAACAAGACCATCGCACTTTTGCTCCACGCCTCTTGTGTAGTGCCACCATGGAGAATAGAATCAAAGAGCTTCTGAAGGATTTCAAGTACCGGGTTTCCGTTCGCTTTAAGAAGCTGCGCTATATTTCCATACCCGCCTGGGGCCTTACCGTGTTTAAGGTGCTGGAGAGCTATTCTAATTTGGTTCAGACTGACGTCCGGATTATCATCGGAATAGTGTCGGATAAGATTTGCTCTTGGACCGTTACTCACACTTGCATGTGGCTCCAACGATGACGTGTACAGCTACGCATAGAATCTCTCAATCTCCCAAAACTTAGGTGTCCCCGAAACGATGTTGCCACAATCGGTCGTCAGCTTTAACAGTTGGCTCTTTCTAGCAGACAGATCTCTGGCAAAGATTTAGAGACTCGATCGCTTCTTCAATACCAGCTGTATTGAAGTTGCGTAAGTCCCGCCGCATACATTTAGAGATTTGTCTGTTTAGTTTCCGTATGCTGTCAAATCTTTTGAAGAATGTAGATTAAGGGTGTGATCGGAGAGTTCTTGTGTTCTTCTGCGGTGGGTCTTGCAGAACTTAGCCTTAGTCCACTGCATTGCAGTCTTCTAGTCATTGAAAACGGTTTTGTAACTCGAGCTGAAATTATCGGGAATTTGGAATAGAGCACGAGAGGGATGGAATGTTGACTTCATTAGACAAGACCTCTCCAACTTACCGTTTAGGTTCAGTGTGCCTCTAATTTCTAATTCGGTAATCGCTACTGGGTTTTTACCCTCGCGATCATTGAACAATTGCCATCTGGTCGTCATAAAAAACATTTAAAAAGTCAGTGCCGATTAATTTTTTGGTCGCAAATTTTTACGTACCATTTTTATTGGTTATTTATTAATGCCCGACGCAAAAAGAGGGGTGTTATAAGTTTGACCGCTATGTGTGTCTATATGTCTGTCCGTGTGTTTTTTTTAATTTTGTATTTAATGTTGTTTTTAACAGTAGTTCATAGACTTGTTTTAACAAAAATGGTTAAGCCGTTCTAATTGTACATTAAAAACGTATGTTTCGAAAACCTAAATAAAACCCGTGTATTACGGCTTACGGCTGCTTCCTTAAAGGGTCAAATCCTCAGGGGCCCATGGGCTGAAGACGTCCCGAGCAGACGTAGGTCGGGCCTCAATGTGGCCACGTGGAATCTCTCTAATTACATTAAAATATATGGGGGAGCGTTCTATAATACGGCCAGTCGACCGGGAGGAATTTGGACGTAGCTTACTTACCTATATCCAAGGCGACTGGTCCCTCCGGAGTCGGTCAGGTCGCATGTGGTTGTGTAGTGCAAGGAAAATAAAGTGATGTGATATGTAGCTGGGTGTGACTGATGGTGAATGAACCTAGACCTTGGCCGTCGGCAGCAGTCCGAGCGTCGACACCGCTCCAACTTGAGGGGGCCTTCCGAGGTTGTCCACAGTCACTTTCCTCGTTCGTCACTGTTGAAGCGCCTGTCAAATTATATTAGCAGTTCTCATGCCAATATTAGTCCGTAAGCTGTGTAGGTATGTTTAAAAAAAATGTTGTACCGGTCGTCGTTGTAAAATTTAGAGATCAAGTAAAGGTCGATTGAGCAAATTACTGCATTTTATTATTAAAAAGAGATCAAATTCCTATTCATGGTCCTAAATCGAAGCCGGATTTGAAAAAACGTAATTGGACAAGATATTATTTAGTGGAATACGCTTGGGAAGTCTTAAATATTCGTTGTGGAAATACCACCGAGGGAGTGAAGATATTTAACCAAGAAATCTGGAGTCTTAGCCCCTTAGATATTGGACTATTATTTAATTTATTTAACCCAGCACTCATTATCAGGTAGTATTTTGTGTAAATCGACTGCTAATTTATCAGGTTAGTACCAAATTACCTATAAAATAATTACGTATAACTTAAAGTATTTAATCGGCTAAAATTCATTTAATATTGTTTTATATAGTTTCTAATAACCGTCAAATCATGATTAAATCAAATTATAAAGCTTAGTTAAATTATATTGACGATATTATAATTTTTTTTTCTCGTTATTGGTTTAAACTGTTTTTTAAAAAATAAGTCAAGAGAGTGTATAATTGAAAAAATTGCATAATATTATTTATTACATACTAAGGCATACCTGTGAAGCTGTTTGATGGTCTGAATTGTATTTGTTACCCTTAATTGTTGTTAATTATAAAGTTAAATATCAAGGTAGTACATGTACCATTTTGTTTAATTATTTAAGAGTTTGAAAAATAAGTAAGGGAATTAGTTTTCATTTCTTTACAACTGTAAGCAAAATTGTATAAAACTACTTATGAATTATATTTTATAAAATATAAACTTCTTGTTTGTATAAATTTCAGGCATTTGCACTAGTCTCCCAATACCAGCCAGCATGCCAGAAGATAAGGAGCAAATTAGGAAACGAGCTAGTTACAAGGGACAAATAACAGCTTTTTCAAATTATTTAAATTCACTGAAGGTATCTTCATTGGCTGCTACTGAGGTAAATGAGTTGCAATTACGTATTAGTAGGATTGAGTCAATGTATGAACGATATGATGAGGTACAATTATCCATCGAGTGTAATACTGATAATATAGACGCCCAGATATCAGAACGAACTGATTTTGAATCCCTGTATTTTAAATCGCTTTCTCTTGCAAAAAGGATCTTAGCAGATTGCATTAAGTCAGATGACGTAAGCAGTGACGGTGGCTCTCATTCCGGCAATCATAAATTTGTTAAACTGCCCACTATTCAACTACCTAAATTTAATGGTTCTTATGATAATTGGTTAGAGTTTCATGACACGTTCATGAGCCTCATACATTCAAATGACGAGATAGATGACATAAATAAGTTTCACTATCTGAGAGCGTCGTTGGAAGGGCCCGCTGCTGTGGTAATACAGTCAATCGAATTCTCGGCAGCTAATTACACCGTCGCATGGACTATATTATGTGATAGATATGATAATAAAAGACTACTAATTCAAAATCACGTGACAGCCTTATTTAATATAGCACCAATTAATAAAGAATTGTCTGTCAACTTAAAACGTCTTATTGACCAAATAAATAAAAATTTACGTGCACTAGAATCTCTCGGTGAGCCAACTAAACAATGGGACACACTTCTCATTCATATTATTACTCAAAAATTAGATGCTAAGACATATCGTGAATGGGAAGAGTCTAAAGGTCGTTTGGAGAAAGATACACCTATTACGTTCGATATATTTTTGATGTTTTTAAAAAATCGAGCCGATTTAATCGAAACACTAGAAATGTCTAATTCTGGTGCTACTAACCGTTTAAATTCTTCTATAAAATATGCTCCAAAAGTTAAGGCAATGGTTTCAGTGCGGGATACCGGTAATAAAAACGGTTCGGCCTTTTCCGCCAAACTGTGTCCTAAATGTAAGGGTGACCATAAGTTAAGCAGTTGTCCTCAGTTTCTTGGATTAAGTAACGATGTGCGTCTACAGTTACTGCCAGAGTATAAAGTATGTTTCAATTGTCTTAATTCAGGACATTATGCAAATCACTGCAAAAAGCCAGGATGCAAAATATGCCACCGAAAGCATAACACTCTCGTGCACGTCGCAGATTACCAGTCAAAACCAATTACAGATATTAATACATCTAACACGAGTAGTGGTAATAATAAGCCCGTTATGCAAGGTCATTTCGAACAAACAAACAGTTCGACAGGCTCACAGTTGTCATCCAATTCTAACGCACATCTGTCATTATCCGCAAAGGTAGGCACTGCATCGTGTAGTGAACAAGGCGACGTATTGTTATCGACGGCATTAATTAAAGTTATAGGTAAGAATGGTTGTCCATATATTGCTCGTGCTATTCTTGATAGTGGCAGTAACGCTTGTTTAATAACTGAAGAGTTATATCAAAGGCTAGGTTTGCCCGCTCAAAATGTAAATCAGTCGGTAGTCGGTATTAATAATGCTTCGGCACACATCAAGAAGATTTGTAAGGTATCGATAAAATCATTGAATGATAACTTCTCTAGTAATCTTCATTGTTTTGTCCTACCATCAATAACCCAAAATGTACCTACTAGATATGTTAATTTGTCAAACTTAAAAATTCCATCTAATATTTCTCTGGCAGATCCTAATTTTCACTCACCTGCTCCCGTTGACATGCTTATAGGTGCT